ATATGCTGCTTGGCCTGCTGTGTTCATCCAGCTCTGCACCTTGTTGTCTCGGATTCTCCAGCATCTGCAGTTCCTACTATCTCTGATTCACTTGTTAAATAACCTTGAGTGCCAGCAGAATTCTTTGCACAATCAGTTTTGGACTGTCACTTGGCCTTGCAGCATGGCACGCTAGCATGACCTGGAAGCTCCATAAATTAATGCACAGAAGGAACATGCACACATTCTTCCTGTTTCAGCTCCACAAAATGGGTAACAGGCATTTGCTAGTTTATTTTTCAGGGTAGTGTCCTAATCAGTCAAGAGTCGAATTGCCTGCTTTGAAGTCTAAACGAAACCTGGCAGTTAACAGTCAACGTTCATTAATTGATGCATTCTTATGGTAGTCCACTTGCCAACTAAGTAACACTGTTCTCATGAAGTGTGAATGTTGGCTTTCTCTTTCGCTGGTATTCTTGCAAATTGCCCTGATAGTGCAAAATGAAAAGATGGATGGTTCTTACTGTACGATAAGTATTGCAGCAGAATAAAGTGAGCTAAGTCGGTGTGGACTTGTTGGACCGAAGGGCCTGCTTCCACACTGTAGGGATTCTATGATTCTGTGATCTATGTTCTAAACTTCAGAGGCACAATCAGCATCCCATAATCTTATAGTGTTATCCAATGAGCAAGTTGGAGGGCAGGCAAATTTGCCTTAGCCAGTTAGAGTTGTTGTGCTTGGTTTAAAATTGTTATAATTGACTGGTGCATTCTTCATGGCGATTTATCTACCAGAGTTCACAGATTTACCGAGTTGATACATCTTTGGTATTCTTGCTCAATGTCCTGATGAGTGCACGACAAAAGGCTTCGAGGGTCTTATCTCAGTAAATATTAAAATAAATTAATTGGTCATGCATCTGTTTGCATGTAGCACTGGAGGCAGAATGCCCATTGCATTTGCCAGGTGTTTGCCATGACTTCTTTGAATCTTGCAGTGCAGTACATAAAGGAGTCTTTATTTATTTTGGACCAGGATTGGAGGGAGCTGTGGATAGAGGATGCATTCTGGCGGTTTCTTTTCTCCATTTTGCTGCTTGTCATAATGTTCTTATGGAGGCCATCTGCAAATAACCAGAGGTAGGTTTCCTGTTATCTGTTGTTCAGGGTCTTGTCACTGGCATGTTGAGTATCAGTACTTTGCGGAGGTGGAGGTGGAGGTGGAGGTAGCAAAAACCACAAATATTGATACTGTTTAATGTGAGGTTTTAAAATCTTGTGCGACACTGAACTTACTCTCTTCTCCCCCGATTTGCATCCACCTCCACTGTTGGCCTAAGCATTCAGCCATGTGCCGGAAAACTTTAGATTGGAAGAATAGAATCTAAACCTGCACAGATTAGAGTTTCTTTACAGTTTAACTGCAAACTGTATGAAGACTTCAATCACTATTTGAACTGACTCTATCAAATGCATCCAGCCAAAATTTTAAACGGTCTTTTTCAGTGCATAATGCACTTCATAAAGTCATGGAAATTCACAGCATGGAACCAGGCTCTTCAGCCCAACTTGTCCAGGCCACCCAGTTTTTGCAATTAAACTAGTCCCATTTGCCTGTGTTTGGTCCATATCCCTCCATACCTGTCCAAATGTTTCTTATATGTCAAAACTGTACTCTCCTTCACCACTACCTCTGACAGCCTGTTCCAGACACTCCCCATCCTCTGTGTGGAAAAAAAATTGCCCTCTGGGCCGTTTTATATCTCTCTCCCTCATCTTAAACCTATGCCCTCTAGTTTCAGATTCCCATACCCTGGGGAAAAGCTGTTGGCTATCTACCTTATGCCTCTCATGATTTTATAGACCTCTACAGGGTATCCCCTCAGTTTCCTATACTCCAAGGGGAAAAGTCCCAGCCTTTCCTTTTATAACTCAAACCATCCAGTCCAGGCAGCATCCCGGTAAATCCCTTCTGCACTTTTTTTTTTTCCCTAGTTGAATAATATCCTTTCTATAATAGGGTGACCAGAACTGCATGCAGTACTCCAAATGTGGCCTTAGCAATGTCTTATACAGCTGCATCAAGACGTCGCAACTCTTATCCTTAATGCTCTGACCAGTGTTTGCACAGTAGGATTGCCAGAATGTTACTAGGCTAAGGGATTCAGTTAACTGGAGAGAAGAACTGGTGGGATAATCCTTAAAACCACAAAGTTTACATGGAGATTTAATGGAGAGGTTTGAAATGTTGAGAGATTTAGAGAGTGAAATCAAACTGAAACTGATTCCACTGACAAGGGTCTAACCAGAGTACAGATTTAAGGGAAAAAGTCTGGAAAAGGTAGTCAGTGGAATGAGATATGGTCCAGAATATGCTGCTTGGAAGTGTGATGGAAGCAGATTAAGTGATAACTCTCTGAAGGTATTTGGATAAACGCCTGGAAAGAAATCATTTTGCAGGGCTCTTGGGAGAGAACGGGGGAGTAGGACTAATTGGTTTGCAGTTTCTGTGAGCTGGTGCAGGTATTCTGAATCCAATCTTCCATGCCATGATTTTCTGTTTGTATGAAGTTACTGACTTCGGTGGTATTGCCAAGGGGTTGCTACAGTATTTCGGTTCTGTGCAATGCAATGTAAAATAACTGCTATCCTTTACTGCATTGCAGATATGCTTATTCTCCATTGGTAGATGAAGTTGATGATGAAGAGGAAGAGGAGCAGTTGATCAGTGAGGCTTTTGGTGAGTTTGGCTGTTTAATATGTTAAGACATTTCCAGTTATTCGCTTTCCTTTCATGGCCTTGATGTCTCAGCACCAATAACCAATGCTGTAATTGATGTAGTTTCTTTTGTAGAGTTGGGAATTGTGATATTGCGGGGTCGTGAAAGATGCTATATAAATGAGGTTGTAGACGTACTCGCCAAGCCAGTGGGTTTGATTGCAAACGTTTCGTCACCCTGCTAGGTAACATTGTCAGCGTGCCTCCGGTGAAGCATTGGTGCGCTGTTATTTATGTGCTTCGATTTGCTGGGGTGGTTGGTATTACTTCCGGTTTTGTTTCTCAGTGGTTTGTACACGGGGTCTAATTCAATGTGTTTGCTGATGTCGTTCCGGTTGGAATACCAGGCCTCCAGGAATTCCCTGGTGTGTCTGTTTGGCTTATGCGATTATCGACGTATTGTCCCAGTCGAATTTGTGTTTCTTGTTGTCCATACATAGTGAGAGAAGTGAGAATTGGTCGAGTCTCTTGGTGGCTAGTTGGTGTTCATGTGTCCGTTTGGTCAATTTTCTTCCGGTTTGGCCTATGTAGTGTTTCTCACAGGTCTTGCACGGTATTTTGTATATTAGCCCAATTCTGGCAGTTTTGGGTATGGGATTCTTTATGATTGTCAGTAAGTGTCGTAGAGTGGTTGTCGGTTTGTGGGCTACTCTGATACCCAGGGGCCTGAGTAGTCCTGTGGTCATTTCTGAAATGTCCTTGATGTATGGTAGCGATTCTGGTCATGTTGTGTCGTCCTGTTGTGTTCTGTCTCGGAGGTAACGGCGGATTGTGCTTTTCGGGTATCCATTTCTTTTGAAGACTCTATACAAGTGTTCCTGTTCTGCTTTGTGTAGTTCCAAGTTGCTGCAATGTTTTGTGGCTAGTTTAAATAGTCCTGATGCAGCTCTTTGTGGGTGTTGGGTGGTTGCGAGTGTAATTGGGTATTTGGTCCATATGTGTGGTCTTCTATATATGCTAATCTGGCGGAATTTCCTGTTGTTTTTGCGTTCTGCTGTTATGTCCAGGAAGGGTAGTTGGTGATTGTTCTCTCTTGTGAATTTTATCCTGGTAAGTATGTTATTTGTGTCAGTTTCTTCCAGTTTGGTGCGTTTAATAATCAAAGGTGTCATCTACGTATCAGCCAAAGTTTGGGTTGGATAGTGGGGAGTGCTGTCCGTTCTAAACTTTGCACTACTGGTTCTGCGATCAGCCCTGATATTGGGAATCCCATTGGTGTTCCATTGATTTGTTTGTATATGTCGTCATTGAAGGTAAAGAGGGTTGTGAGGCACAAATCTGGTGATTTTGTAGTGGTGTCCTTTTTTATTGAGGTTGGTGTCCTGGGTTGTCTGCTTCCTTGATTCGTCTAGCAGTGTGGAAATTGTTTCTTTGGCTAGACCAATGTTTATGGACGTAAATAGTGTTGTTATGTCAAAGGATTATCATCATCTCGTCCTTATCTATCCTGGTGTCCTTCATGTTGAGGAATTGTTGGGATGAGTGGATGGGGTGGGTAGTGTCTTCCACTAAGCATTTCAATTTCTGTTGTAGTTCTTTGATGTACCTGGCAGTGAGACAATGGGTCTGAGGGGGGATCCCCAGTTTATGTGCCTTGGGGAACCTGTAGAATCAGTGTATTCACAGTTGTGGTGTGTCCAGGGAATACATGCCCAACAAAAAAAGCCCTCGCTGGTTGTGCTGCCACTGACGAATGATACTACTAAGTAATTACATATTTGAAATAATTTGCTCGTGACTGCTGGCCTATCCAAGAGGGACAACACTTTATAAATTTAAGCTGTTGACTACGGTTTCTGCATTGCATACAACATTTTATTCTGTGTTCACTGCATCTTCAATTCTCTGGAGCCATTAATGGTTTAATTATTTCTTCTGTCTTCAGAGGGAATGAAGATAAGACCCATAAAATCGGAATCTAATGGCACAGTCAAACCCAACAAAACGGTGAGTGAGCTTTCATTGCTGCTGCCCAGTGCAATAAACTTTTGCTTTATCATCTCAGCCTTCGCTGTTGGTGCTTTCCTCACAGCCACCAATGTATAAACTAATGATATCTTAAGACTTTAACACTGCTTCTAATTGAAGGGAAAAATACATTATTAGTCCATTTAAGCTGCATGAAATGTTGAGACCAGTGTTCTGAGTGGATTGGTGACAACAGTATTGTGTTGAATAGGTGCATGTGTCGAACAGCCTGTGTAGGCTTCATGTTCCAAAATGATTCCTTTCTGTGCTCAATCTGCGCACCTTCAGTACATGCAAAACAGCGAGTGTGCCCCTGATATTCTGCCAACTGGGGGCAAGACTTCCTCTTTTACCTTAATAATGCATCGTGAAATGTGGGATTAAAAATAAATGTTCTTTAAGTGCTATCTTAAACACTGCCATTCTTAAGATTTCCTAGAAAGTAGTGTTCAGCCAAAATCTTCCTGTAATGCTTATAACGCTTTTAACATGCAGAACTGAAACCAGTCTCATCTGTTCCTTCTCCAGCATCAAACACTTGACCCCATTTGGGGCAATATGCCATTACTAATCCAGCTTTTCCACTTCTATAATTCAAATCTGTCTTGGTGTAAATAGGCTCTGTGGTTACGCTGGTACAGTCATTCCTGAACTTTCAGAAGGCACTGTTACTTTTGCAAGATTGAAAATGATGATTCAGTGCTCATTAGGCTAGCCTGCTTATAAACAGTGCCACCCTCCTGAAGCCAGGGAGTCATAAATAGCATGGGGAAGCAAACAATCTATTCAATTTGGCCTATTTGTTCTTCTGGATACATTTTTACTGTGGATCTTGGTGTCATTCCGTGCTACACTTCAGAGATTAGGATCTACAGAGAAATGTGTATCAGATGGAAAGTAACTTCCAGTTCATTCTCCACTTTAAAACACAACATTGTTTTATTCTACATGATAATCCAAAGAACTGCAGATGCTGGAAATCTGGAAGAAACTCGGCAGTTCTGGCAACATACTTCAGCAAGGATTTCAACAAGGATCCGCATGGTAGACTAGTTAGCAAGGTTAGATTACAAGGAATCCAGGGAGAACTGTTTGGATACAAAATTGGCTTGAAGGTAGAAGACAGTGCATGGTGGTAGAAGGTTGTTTTTCAGACTGGAGGTCTGTGACAGAGGTATGCCTCCAGGATCAGTGCTGGGCCCACTGCGTTTTGCCATTTATATAAAGGATTTGGAGTGAATATAGGAAGAATAGTTAGTAAGTTTGCAGATGACACCAAAACTGGTGGTGTAATGGACAGTGAAGAAGGTTATCTGAGTACAATGGGACCTTGATCAGATGGGCCAACGGATGGCAGATGGAGTTTAATTTAGATAAGTGAGGTGTTGCATTTTGACAGGGCAAACCAGGGCAGGACTTGGACACGTAATGGTAGAGTCATGGGGAGTATTGTCGAACAAAAAGACCTTGGGTTGCAGATTCATAGTTCCTCGGAGGTGGAGTCGCAGGTAGACAGGGTAATGAAGAAAGCATTTGATACGCTTGTCTTTATTGGTCAGTGCATTGAGTATAGGAGTTGATGCCATGTTGTGGCTGCACAGGGCATTAGGTAGGCTGTTTTCAGAATACTGCATTCTGCTCTGGTCTCCCTACTGTAGAAAAGAGGTTGTTAAAATGAAAGGATGCAGAAAAGATTTATGAACATATTGCCAGGATCGGAAGGTTTAAGCTGTAGAGAGGGGCAGAACAGGCTGGGGCTATTTTTTCTGGAGCATTGGAGTTTGAGGGGTGACCTTAGAGAGGCTTATAAAATTATGACAGGCATGGATAGGGTGAATAGCCAAAGTCTTTTTCCCAAAGTAAGGGATCCAAAACTAGTGGGCACAAGTTTAAGGTGAGAGGAGAAAGGCCCTTTTTAAATCTAAGGGGTGACTTTTTCATGCACAGGGTGGTGCGCGTACAAAATGAGCTGTGGTGGAAGCTGGTACAATTACAACATTTAAAAGGTCTGAATGGTAATATGAATAGGGAAGGGTTTAGAGGGTTATGTGCCAAATGCTGGCAATGGAACTAGATTAACTTAGGATATTCTGGCCATCATACACGAGTTGGACAGAGTTTATTTCTGTGCTGCACGATGCTATCCGGGGAGCAAGCAGAGTTTAAGTTTTGGATTCAGTGAAGTGTTCTGAAGAGTCCAACAATTTCTGTTTTTGGACTATCAAGGACAAATGATGTCTTGGATTGGTTTTGATCACCAAAAGGAGTTGGAGAGGAATTTCTTGGGTTTTTCTCTTGATTGCCTGACTTAGGAAGACACATGGTATAGGGAATGTATATGTAAAACATCATAGCTGCGTAGAACATGCTAGCTGAGCTAGAAGACCTTTTCTTCTTTGTACTGAAACCAATGTCATTGCTGAGAACTGGAAGGTAAAGGTCACTGACCCGTGTGCTGTTAAATGAATGTTTTGCAGGATGAAGACCTCAAATGGGTTGAAGAGAACATCCCAGCCTCACTAACTGATGTGTAAGTCTCTTGAAGCTAAACTGGAAGCTGTTATCCCCACACCCACCCTTCCCTAACAGTCCCACTTTTGGTGTTTTGCAGTTTGTGTTACCCATCTTTCTGCAGTTAATCTATTGAGTCCAGTATTACTCTTTAGAACTGCTTAGTTTCATCAGAATGTTCTGTAAACATGTTTGAATGCCACCATAGCAGGTGAAATTTGAATTCAGTAAAATCTGGAATTAAAAACTAGCTGTTAAAAAGCTAATGTCAACTCTTTAACCACTGATAATTTTTGTAGAAATCTGTCTGGTTTTACTAATGTCCTTTAGGGAAGAAAATCTATCCTTACTTGGTCTGAGCTACATGTGACTTCAGACCGACAGCAATGTTTTTGACTCTTAACTGCTCTCTGAAAATAGCCTAACCTGTTCAAGGATAGGCATCAACTACCAAATCCTTCAATCCTTGGAAGAATAAAGGGGAATAAAAAAAAAATCAAGACTGCCGCACAAACACGCAGAGGGAGAATTGTGGGAGGTGCAGTCTTAAAGATGAGATGTTAAACCAAGGCCCTGTTTGCCACTGTGGGAGTTCTGCCTGCTCTCTTAGCCAATAATTATTTCCCAACCAAAATCATTGCTGATTGTTGGAGCTAAGATTGTGTGTTGTGGTTCCCAATATTACAATTGTGATTGCACTTGGAAAAGTGATTAATTAGCTAGGAAGTACTTTCCGACTTCCTGAGATCATGAAAGGCGCAATATAAATGCGTTGTTTTTACTCATTCATATTGCAGGTGCAACACTGTGGCCCAGCTACAAGGAGTCTGAAGCCAAAGAATGGTTTTTAATTGCTATTTCTTCACCTGACTTTTAAATTTACACTTCTGTTTGGCTCGATAGTACTGTACTCATTTTAAACTAACCATGCAGATTGAACAGTGCCTGTCACAGCATTGCGTGCACATTGGTTCCAACCTGTACAGATTTAAGCTGTATGGACGAGAAGTCTGTAATGCCCATTTATGTACAGCTATCTGATCTCCAACGTTATTGAGATACTGACATTGATCTCGTATCCTTGGATGCGGAGAACAAAAATAAACAGAGTTCTAATCCAGATTGCTGTCTGGAAGATGCATATGTGAGCAGGATTCGACTCCACTGTGATGCCAACCAGTCAAGTAGCCTGTCCAGTCTGGCCATTTAGTGCGTTTGTCATGATGCTCTACTGTGCTTTTATCTTTACAACATCATCTGAAGTGCTGGATTTTATTTATGTTGAAACTCCCTAGGGTTACTGACATTATATATTTAGACCAAATTTCCATGAAGATGAATGAAAGAGTTCTGCACTTTAACAAGAGATTGTTTACTCTGTTATTTCTCTGAACAACTGAGACTTGCGGGCCAGAATGTGGCACACACAGACCGTGTATCTGGCTCCAGAGACTTCAAGAAAGTAGATTGTATACTGCTTTCGAGTTCCTTCTCCAATTACAGGCTGTTTGCTCCCTGCATTTGCCAGTGATTGATCCTTTAGCACTCACTGGGAGCCTGAGCTGACAGTGTGTTTTGGGCAGCCATAAGGAGCAGCATTGGTAGCAACAGTGTCTGCCTGGGCCAGCTTCAGACAGGGTGGAGTGAAAATGCATCCCAGTATCCACTGGAATGAAAGGTTCAAACCTTGCAGACCCAGGGGTAGAGAGAGACTGGGGGTGGGGGTTGGAGCAAACAAGTTGGGGAGAGGCGGTGTGGTAGGAGTTTGGGGGGGCACAGTGCAGTGCAGGGTGGTGGGAGCCCAGGGTGTTTGTGGTGGAGAGAGGGGCGGGGGACATGTGTGCTTTAGTATGTCCCTTGGAACTCATTGGGTTGTACCCTGATTGTGTCCTACTTTGCCACCTATTGATGATTGCTGAGCAGAGATGATTTTTTTTTTTTCTTAACTTTGCATCTTCATTTCCTTCCTCTTTTTATCTTCCAGTGCATTGCCGACCCTGCTGGATTCAGATGAGGTAAAATACCACTTTGTGGTTTGCCTGCTTTACCTTTAACTGTAACAAAAACAGATTGCTGGAAATGCTCTGCAGATCGCAGCATCTGTGAACAGAAATCAGAGTTAATGTTTTGGATTTAGTGATGACTCTTCAGAACTGAGTTGGCTCAGAACAGTTAGCTTTAACTGTTCCAAATTAACCACTCTGCAAATGCCTCAACACTAAAGTGCCCAATGGTCTGGTTGCTAACAACTGAATGTGACTGAGCCCAACAGAACCACCAGCCTCATGGCCTACTTTCTAACCAGGGTAGAGTTGGTGGGTCTTAACTGGAGTATGGATAGGAGTGGTATTGCTAGAATTCCACAGCTGTGGATAACCAGCCATGAACTACTACCATTCCTGGGACAAACTACAGCATTAGAGCCTCTCTGCAGTGAGAACAGATTGCAGATGGTTGGTTTCTCTCCGTGTCTCATCTTTCACCTGAAGTAGCAACGTGTAGCCAGGAATTTGGGTAATCCCTTAAATGGGTGCAATGTGGGACAAAAGCATTTTAAGTTTTACACAATTAGCAATCTGGCTGCAGATTGCATTTATTTCAATAGGTGTGCTTTTTTCCCCTGTTTGATCGAAGTTTGTTTTGCCAACAAGGGCATGGAATGCCCTGCCTGCAAAAGTAGTAGACTCGCCAACTTTAAGGGCATTTAAATGGTCATTGGATAAACATATGGATGATAATGGAATAGTTTAGGTTAGATGGGCTTCAGATTGGTTTCACAGGTCGGCGCAACATCGAGGGCCGAAGGGCCTGTACTGCACTGTAATGTTCTATGTTCTATGTAACCGCAAAAACCGTTGCAAACAATGTAATTGGGCAGCACTGAAAAGATTGGTTTCTTTCTGTTCAATTTTGACCTGAGGGAAAAAAAAATCCTTGATTATATTTGAATTCGTAATTTGGTGCAGTTTGATTGATACACCTGGGTTTATTAAATCACTGGTTCAGTCATGTATCTGTCAATAATGAAATCTTAAATGAGCAAAAATGGTTGTAAAGATATACAGAAATATTTATGTCGAGTACAGATTTGTATTGGAACGTGACATTTCATATCTTTTAAAATGTTCCTATTGGTATCGTTGCTCAAAAGAAAGGAGCTTAGTTTTTAGCTACGCCTAGGAAGCTTGTGCATGACTGCAGTTGGCGGAAGGGCCCAGTGGTGATTATCTTGATTTCTAGGTGTGCTCCATTTGAGAATGGGCTCACGGGACAGAAAATAAGGAAACTTGATTTGCACTTAAAATTCCACTATCTTTTGAATAGTTTGGATTTTGGATGAAGTGCAAGTTGATTCCGCAGTAGCTATTAAACATTTGCATTGTTAATTCTTGTGACTCATTCAATTTTTTTGTTTTGTCCTGTTTCAGGAAATAATGACGACCAAGTTCGAAATCTCCAAAATGGAATAATTGGTGATTGTTACAGGCAAAGCTTTAATTTTGAAATCCACATCTTCTTCTGCAGCAGATTTAACTTTTGGATCTCTTTTATTTAAAAGAAAATGAAGAAACATCTGAAATGTTCTTGGTGTTGTGACTTTCTGAAATGGCATAAAAACATTACTTTTCATTTTGGAAACTCGGCCAATCAGTTTTATGAAACTATTTTTAAAGCACTGCTTTTATGTTCTCTCCATTGCCCCTGAAACTTGGTTTAAATTCTATGAAATGCCACCAGCAGAATTCTTTGGAGCCAAGGTGTTCTCTGCATGGGAGTGCGAGGATCACGGACCAAGCTGAGCAAAGTAATTGTGATTCCAGTGAAACCAGCTGGGCATTGTAAAACATATACCACCTGTATGTGAAGGTGGTTAGGCTGAATATTTAGATATGGTACGTCCATGCCTGTCTATACGCAAATAGCCTTTTTGTCATTATTTAAGACAAATAATAAAAAGGAACAAAGCCAATAGTTTGAGCAATATCAACTGTGCCAAAAAGAATAGGCACAGAATATCGTCTGTACTTGGCAATCATGCGTCCTTTCTTGAAATGTTTGCCACGCACTGTTGGGTGCTTCTGAGCTGTAACTGAAAACTTATTTATGAGCAGCTTGCAAGTGTGCATTTTTGCCCAAAGTAGCAGCTGAACTCTGACTTGAGCCCGTGATTACTTAATGGTTCAACTTGTGTGGCCTTACAAAGGACACTTGTGCACCTTAACGGCATAATGTACTTGTTTTAATATCCTGCTATCCTTCAAAAGCAGCCTGTCTCAGCAACATCAGGTGAGTTCTAGGTTTACTGGTATATGTTTCACTCGGTTGTATGTCAGAGAAACTGTCATTGTGAACTCTGAAATGTATACTGATGTTGCTTATTATTTTATCCTCGGGATGCTGAGGATCTGTAACAAACTATGCATTAATCCATACATTAATGATGACTTTCCATTTTGGGAGTTTTTCCTGTTGGAAGTTCATGGCAGACAGCAGTGACTGTGAAACTCTTGCAAACAAATATTGCAGTATAGTGTTGCTACAGGTAGTTTTTTTTTAACACCATGCTCTTGGGGGCTTTAACTGAATGTTACAGGAGCAGATCACATAACTCATTATACACTGTTACCACTCCCCTCCACCCCACTCTATAAGGAGCCCTCTGATGGCTCTTCAGAAAAATCTGATAAAGTAGTTTAGGAACTCCTTGCCCACTGCCCTGGAAATCTAAATGCAACTGGTCAATTTGTGCTTTGATATATTTTCCAACTCTGCAGTGCCATTCAGGTTGAGATTTTCCTGGAATTCCAGTGTGTGGTCACTTCTGTCGAGTGTATGAATGTGTGCTCTGGCTTTAAAAGCAATGGCCATCCCTGGTCAAATAGCCAGTCAGCACTATCCAGGATAGCCACTGAGGGGTGAGATAGTTCAGTCGAGGCTGACTCTTTTTTTTTATATTAAATTTACTTATCAAAATATTTCGAGTGAGTTTCATCTTTGTTTTACTCCCTACTGTTCTAAATTGAGGGTTGCTTCATTAACCTTCTCAACAACAGCAGAACTTTATTCTGTAACTTTATCGTGGAAAGATTATTTATTTGCAAAATTTTCCTTCAGTTATTGTAAGGATCAGTTTTTTGCATGAGTTTGAACAAGCTGTGTTTTTTCCAGTACGAGTCATGGTGAGGATAGCTTCAGGTCTCTGATACCTTATTTGTGCATTGTTGTCCTCCAAAGCTTGAGTTCCAAAGTGTCTCTCTTGTAGGGAACTGTGTAATATTCTGCATTGACATATTTCACTGTTTTATTTACATGTAGTTTGAGTTATAGTTTAGCTTTAGTGAAAAAACGTCTGTGGTTGATGCTTCTGTTACCGACTGGCAAAATACACTGTAAACTGGTAATAGAGAGGTCACAAGTACAGCTACAGTGTTTTCTGAAGATGGCTTCAGCCCAAATTAAAGGTGTGAATTCCAAAGTGTGACTGTACAACACTAGCCGAGATTCGTTCCAGATTGGACAGAGTGCAGTTGCATCCACAAATATGTACATGTGAACTGCTTACGGGCTTCACATCAGATAAACACAGCATTGATATTGAAATGTATTGTCGGCAGATTTGTACTGTTTCTGTGAAGAATCGATAAATCATTTCGTAAAATTGAGTCTTGTTTAAAGAAACAACTATTGTGGCTATATTTGGTGTTGCTATTTGAGGCAAATGAAACACTAACTACTTTGGGTCTGTTTATTCCTGTTTTGTGCAGCTGTCACTAAAATGCATCAATTTTCATCTGTCTCTTTATCTGATATGTATAACAGAATTCTGCTGTTGAGGGCAAAAGTTCATTATCATACAGTTACATGTTTGTAAAACAACACGCTTAAGAGGTATGTTTCCAGCCAGGTTTCCATAGATTCAGGGTAGGGCTCCTGAATAGTTGCAGATCCGATTTCACAGTCAACTTGCTGCAAGCACTTGGCCCGCAAAGATGGCTTAATGGTAATCTCACTTGACCAGTAATCCAGAGGCCCAGGCTAATGCTCCAGGACATGGGTTCACGTTCTACTACGCTGGCTGCTGGAATTTAAATTCAAATAATAAATTTGGAATGGAAAGCTGGTGTCTGTGATGGTCAGCAATTGATGTAAAAACCCACCAGGTCTCTAAAATCCTTTAAGGGAAGGTCAAGATCTTTAGACCCACAGTAAAGTGGTCCTCTGAAATGACCTAGCCACTCAGTTCAAGGATGATTAGAAATGAGTAACAAACAACGGTTTTGCAAACAATGCCCACATCAAAGAATAAGGATAAAAAGGCAAACAGTTTAGATCACTGTAGGCTGTGGGTAGATACCTACTCAGGTGTCCATGTTGGAACAATGTGTGTTTACATATCCTGGGAGAAATCTAACCTCTGGCTGAGAGTCTAGCCAACAGAACAGATTTGAAACAGGCTATAATGAAACAACTGCGGATGCTGGAGGTCCGAAATAAACACAGGATGTGCAGGAGAAACTCTGCAGGTCTGGCAGCATCTGTGGACAGAGAAAGAGTTAACATTTTGAATCCTGTGATCTTTCATCAGAAACATTCACAGAGGGCTTAACTCTTTCTCTGTCCACAGATGGTGCCAGACCTGCTGAGTTTCTCCAGTGCTTTGTTTTTGTGTTGATTCAGATGAGCTGTCTTTGTGTGACATTGAGATAGGGGACAGCATGCTTTCACATTTAGGAGGGTCAGTTGGGCAGATCCAGCGATCTGGATGTTAAACATCAAGTGCAGTCCCAAACCCCTAAACTTTGATTTGGATCAATGCGATGGTACAATATAAAGTTTATGTAATTTGGCTGCAAATTGATTGCTTCCTTTGGGGCCAGAACGTTCAATAGCTGAGAACCTGGTCAGATGCTAGTCACTTTCGAGTGTATTGTGGAGATATCCTGGATAGCTGTGATAGCTTACCACACTTTTTTAATAAGTAGCAATAACTAGTATGAGTGGCTCATCCTTTTTGGTCCTTATGATACTGTTGACCATTGTAACCTGGATACCTTTCAGTTTGGTTGTAAAATGGATCTCTCCTCCTCTGTCCCCCTCTATCATCTGTCTCACCCTTTCCACCCTCACCTTCACGCTCTTTTCCACCACTCTTTCAGTTACTGTATTCTGATAAAGTGAAACAGGAAAAAGTGTGAATTCGGCACTGGGTACTGAGTGACATGGCACCATTTGATCCAAATCTCTGAATGCCAGTTTTCTTCAAGCACATCTACATTCTAACAGGCTTTGATTGTATCAATATGCAATAGGTCTGCAGTATTTATTTTTTGTACTATTTATAGGATTGGAATATTTGGAAACCAACTGACCATAAGCTGACGGCATCCTGCTGTATAGGAGGCCCTGAAGTCTTTTGGATAGCTTAAGTAATGTTTGTGGTTCAGTATAACACAAAAATAAACTACAGATGGATGTCTAGCTGAGTAGACACAGACTAGCATTGTACGTAATTATTGTTGGATGGGCTACTTGGTAAATACTTATCCATCAAATGGGTTCAACAAGTTTTCTTGTATTTCAGGATGTTGGGGATGAAATTTGAGGGAAAATGTTTGCACTCAAGCTGAGGGCTCTTAGTGGTGAGACTGAAACTTGTCAGTACAGGCTCTGTATTGAGTACATCATAATCTGAGCCTCTGATCCACAGTAGTCACAAGCTTGAGTCCCAAGTTTAAAAGAGCACCATGAACGGCACCAGCCTTATTGGACCCCTCACACCACCGCCACCCCCCACCCGCTCCAGTTATCAGCATCACATCCCCTGGCCTGAGATGGTCGTTCAGCATCAAAGATGGGACAGTACTGTGCTGTAGATTTATACTCATTTGAAGCTAGATTGTGATTCACAAAGACTCTTAAAGTCACCTGATAACAGGAAACCTTTATCCCATTAGTGTGGACTATATTGGAACCAAGGTTCTTTGGAAAAGGAGAATGATTCACGAGTAACAAAAAGAGATTGCTGGAAAAGCTCAGCAGGGCTGGCAGCATCTGTGAAGAGAAATCAAACTTAACGTTTTGGGTCCGGTGACCCTTCCTCAGACTGGTGGTAGCTGGGAAAATCGGTTTATATGCAGACGATAGTGTTATAGCTGGGGGCCAGAATAGAATTGGCAGAAGGAATGTTCCACGTACCCCACAAAGAGACAGGCATAGCTGGGCACCCATGCAGGTTCCCATGGCCACCTCTAATGATTCACAAGTATTAGTTTCAGAGAAGAAATGCATTGAGTGCCTAGTTTCCTGCTTGCCTCCTTGTAAATTGCACCAATCACTGACCAACCATCTAGTAAGTAATTCTCTCGGCCCTTCTTGAGACTGCATTCCATCCTTGGTTTGACTTGCGCACTTAGTACTGTGTGAAACATTGCAGCACTGATTGGATGAGCTGTCAAGGATGGGCCTCAACTTTAATTGGTGGTGTATATGACTGAAAGATATGAACCCATCTGGCGGAGATTGGTAGATGTGTGATGAGAGTGTAGTGAATTGACCAACCTATGAACCTGTTTGGTGTGTTTGTAGGCTATGACATTAAATGGTACTTTCATGACTTTGACTAGTTGTGTGAGGTTATCGACCTCCTTGCGCCACTTATGAGCACAGATTTTGCGATTGATTGTGTCATTTTTCTATTGCTGTTTCACAGTTGGGGCATTGTTTTTGAACAGGGAGCAGGAAAATGAGCTGTTCTTCATTGTCCTGGCAATCCAGTGGCCCCTGATGAAGGTGCTTGAATTGGATGTTGGCCAATTGGAGAGGTAGACTTGTGTGTGATTTCCCCCTGTGGTTGAATATCCTGCCAATGATCAGCATCCAAAATTGAATGTGGCCACTTAGATGAGACACCTGAAGGATCCTACAGTATTGCCCCAGAATGTGAGGAATAGTGAAAAAGAGCTACAAAAA